TCTGTAGACCAGGCTTGCCTTGAACTCAGAGATCTGCCTGCCTCTGCCTCCTAAGTGCTGGGATTAAAGGTGTGCATCACCACTGTCTGACTGCTATATTCTTTAATATGTAAATATAACCTGTCCACTCCATACAATGTTAGTTGTGTGTATACGTTTCCAAGAATGGTCATTTGGTATCGAAAAATAAATTTAAAAAAAAATAAAGCAGGCCGGGCGGTGGTGGCGCACGCCTTTAATCCCAGCACTTAGGAGGCAGAGGCAGGCAGATCTCCGTGAGTTCGAGACCAGCCTGGTCTACAAGAGCTAGTTCCAGGACAGGCTCCAAAACCACAGAGAAACCCTGTCTCGAAAAAACCTATATCTATATATCTATATCTATATCTATCTATCTATCTATCTATCTATCTATCTATCTATATATATATATAGAGAGAGAGAGAGCCAGGAGTAGTGACATATACCTTTAACTTGAATACTAAGGAAGCAGAGGCAGGCAGATCTGAGTCCAGGCCAAAGGACTAGATATTGAGACCTTGTTAAAAAAAAAAAATAGTACAGGCTCATTATGGATATCCTTGGGGGAAAACAACAACAAAGACTCAAAATAAGAAATCTTTTTTCTCTTATTTTCTTCTTTTTTAATGGAGCCTTGGCTAGCCTGGAACTCACTATGTAGACCAGGTTGGCCTCAAACCAGAGAACTACCTGCCTTTGCCTTCTGAGGCCTGTATTAACGGTATATGCCCCCACACCTGGCTAAAATAGAAGCTCTTACCTTACTCCAAACACCTAGTAAGGGGGCCAGTGAGACGATTTAGTGGGTAAAGCACCTGCCACCATGCCTGATGGCCTGAGCCAATCACCAGAACCCACACAGTAGGAGAGAATCAATTCTTGTAAGTTATCCTTTGACCTCTATACTCAATCCTTGACACAAGTGTGCCCTCATAAAAACATGCATGCACACATGTGTGCACCCACACCCAAAATAAATCTCCATCTACATGAAAATCAAACCAACATCCTTGTGGGATACGGCACCCGGGTGCCTAGCTGAGGTGGAGACTGGTGGGGGAAGGGAATGTACCCAGCAGCTGTGGCGAATCAGGAAAAGGGAGAAGAGAGGATCCCTAAAACAGGGGGAGGTGTGTAGTTTGGGGGTAACCAGGGCTTGGTTTTTGTGCTGGATGGAGGCAGACGGTGTACAGTGCTCACCCCACCAAGCCTCCTCACCGAAACACTGCGAGTAGAGTTCCCTGCGCACGGGGCAGATGCCCGTCTCCCTGGCCTGTCTCTGCTGCAGCTTCAGGTCCAGCTGCTCCTGTAGATGCACCACATCCATTCTGGTGCTGGGGGTGCTGGACACCTGCTGGATCCATAGCTGTGTGTCTTCCACCCACTCCCTATGATACAGATACAAGTCACCCGATGTGAGCAAAGGGCCCCGAGCAGGAGTGACAGGCGGCACAGTCATCCCGCCACCAGAATTCACTTCCCTCTCCTTCCCAAGCCACACCCACTCTGTAGCCTCAGGACACCTCCCTCAGGGCTGGGCAGATGATGGGTAATCTCTACAGTCCATGAGACCACGACTCTGTTCCAGGTCAGACCTGCCTAGCATGTTGAGGACAGGTGTATGGTCCTGCTGCTTGATTTGAATAGAAGATGCAGTGGGAAATCCCCACACTAGCTTGTGGTGGAGACATGGAATATCATTAAACTCATGCAAGCCCGTAAGATGTATTTTTGTATGGTGGGGGCATGGGTGTTCTCGAAGGGCTGTGTTTGCAATGGCTGCCCATAATGAATTCTGTGCTGGAGGCACAACCAATTCCTGCAGTGATAAAGACAGAATGGCAAGGGAGGGAGGACGTCTATGTTGCTGGGAGAGAATCCGCTGAGAAAAGACACCTCTCTCCTGAGCTCCATCTCTGGTTCTCTGTGGTTCCTTTATTCCCTGAGAAAGAGCTTTATTGCCTTGGGTATAAAAATGTCCATTAGGTAGAGGCTTTTGAAAATTCTAGCTAGGCTATGTAGCCCAGGCTGACCTCAAATTCTGATCCTCCTGCCTCTGCCCCCTGCATTCTGGGATTAAAGGTGAGATTCAGCCGACATTGCCTTATTGGACATTTGTGAGTTTTTTTGAGACACAACCTTGCTATGCAGCACTAGCTGGCCTGGCACTCCTTTTGCAGTTCAGGCTGGCCTTGCCTTTGAGGCAATTCTCCTGTCTAGCAAAGTGACATCACATCAGACTCTCTATGGGGATTCCCCCCCACCCCCCCGAGACAGGGTTTCTCTGTGTAACATTCCTAACTTTCCTGGAACTTGCTCTGTAGACCAGGCTGGTCTTGAAATCACTGATATCCACCTGCCTCTGTCTCCCAAGTACTGGGATTAAAGGTGTGTGCCACCACCTCCCAGTTTCTATGGGAAATCTTTTTTTTTTCTTTTTTTTTGGTTTTTCGAGACAGGGTTTCTCTGTGGCTTTGGAGCCTGTCCTGGAACTAGCTCTGTAGACCAGGCTGGTCTCGAACTCACAGAGATCCGCCTGCCTCTGCCTCCCGAATGCTGGGATTAAAGGCGTGCGCCACCATCGCCCGGCTTCTATGGGAAATCTTGATGGTACTACCAAGAAAGCAAAATATTGGGAATGGGGTTTAGGAGGCACAGGGCTGGACTAGAGACCTAGATTTGAAAGCTGATTGCGTTGCTGGCATCTGAAGTCATGAGACTGCTCAGAATATGGATGGTAAGAGGATGGATTTAGAGATTTCCTGCTTGGCTGTGAGCTCCAGCTATATTCAGACTCAATGAAATCCAGAAAGCTGAGAGAAAACCCAAGGCAGAACACAGGTAAACTTCCTGGCCCCACACAGGTAAACTTCCTGGCTTGACACATCTAAGTTCTGGGGCCAAGAGTTTGGACCTTTGTCCAGCCACTGCATCCCCCACCCCTTTTATTTATGTTTTTTTTTTTTTTTTTTTACCTTGGAGGCAAGATGGCATTCAAGATTTCTTCTGCCTGTTTCGCAGGATCTGGGACACAGGAAGTTGAGGGTAGTTTGCCCTTGGGTGGCTGTGGGACTGGACCTGAGGGTCCAGGCTGCTGGGGGCTGACTTTCAGTGACCGAGCCTAAGAGACAGGTGAGACAGGATGTTCAGTTTGCTCCAGCTTTCTTGTACAGGCTTCCCCATTTCCAGGCGACTTCCCTCATCTATGGTCTCAACAGAAGTATGAGCTGAAGAGGCATAGAGGTCTATCTGGCTCTGGCCGTGTTTGAACTGGTGTCTCTAGAGAGGGAGAAGTCACTACCTGGCCCATACTTGGACCTGCCTACCACAAACCCTATCCATTTCTCTGAGACTTCTTTCTGATCTTAAATCTGCCCTTTGGGGTCACAGTTAGGCTTGTCTTACTCCTTTCCCAACCTCCGTCGTCCCTGTCCCAATTCCCTTGGCTGTTAGGCCCAGCAACCCTTCTCCTGAAATTCCAGAGATCCTCAAAGCTGGGATGTCTATCTCCACGGGAATCCGTAGGTTGTTGCCCCCGTAAGACCTGTTCATACCTTGGGGCTCCGTTTTTCTGTGTTCCGGCTCACCAACACCGGGGTGTCATATTTGAGCAGAGAGTCTGCGGGGGGTATCATAGTGGCAGCAGGGCTGGCAACGCTGTAGTGGTCCTTCCAGGTGGGGCCTTGTTTGCGGTCACCATGGAAACCCCTCCTCGCCTGCCTAATGGATGGGGCGGGGCTTCGTAGGGAGGCGGAGCTGGTCGCGTGCAAATTTTATTCTACTGAGCTCGCTCCACAAGCTCCCGGTTTCTTGGTGAACAAGACTGAATGGAGCCCTAGCGCTAGATCTGATAAAGGATGTGATGAAATGAGCAGACCACCTTTGCTGAGCCTAAAAACGGAAGTCATCTCCTGACTTCTTAAATTGTTTGGCGATGATTGGCACTTGGAAGGCAAAGGCTGGTGGATCTTTGTGAGTTACAGGACAGCCAAGGCTGCATGAAGACACTGTCTCAAGAAACAAACAAACAAAAATAATTTCCTATTGTTGAGTACTTGTCTGTGTTTTGTAACTATCAACAATCCTCCACGAACAGCATTGGATTAGCTTTCCTACATAAGATTTTCCTTTTTTTATTTATTTTATTTTATTTTTTTTTATTTTTTTTTGCTTTTTCGAGACAGGGTTTCTCTGTGGTTTTGGAGCCTGTCCTGGAACTAGCTCTTATAGACCAGGCTGGTCTCGAACTCACAGAGATCCGCCTGCCTCTGCCTCCCAAGTGCTGGGATTAAAGGCGTGCGCCACCACCGCCCGGCTAGATTTTCCTTTTTTAAAAAGCCAGGCAGAAGTGGTGCATTCCTTTAATCCCAGCGTTTGGGAGGCAGTCAGGCAGCTCTCCGGGTTCGAGGTTAGCCTGTGTACAGAGTAAATTCTAGGACAGCCAGGGATACATATAGAAGCCCTGTCTGGAAAAACAAAACAAAACAAAACGGATTTAAAAAAAAATTAGTTTGATCATTTTTGAGATCCTGGAGGTTGCCCCCAGGGCTTTGCACACGCGAGGCAAACGTTCACTGTACAGCTAAGCCACATCCCCCGGCTTTCCGCCCCTTTTAACTTCAACCATTTCTATTTGGCGGTGCTGTGGACAGAATCCATGACTTTGGGTTCGGCTAGGCAATTGCTCTACCTGAGAGACAACTTTTTCAAATTTTGAGATAGAATTCTCACTAAATTGCCCAGGCTGGCCTCGAATTTACAGCGATCCTCCTGTCTCAGTCTTCCGAGGACTGGCCCTGACTTTCCAGCCCTCCAGTCTCACTTGCTAGCAGCCCAGATCCCTCTGCCACCAGCCGGGGCGTCCCCAGCGTGCGAACCCTATCACCTGCTGCCCCGCCCACCGGGGGGGTTTACCTCGCCGTGAGGGCTTCTGGGATCTTCCGTGCTTCCCGGAAGCGGAAGTGCAAAGGTCGGCCCGTCACTTCCTTCGGCTCGAGTGGCTCAACGGACCCTGCAAGTGGCTCTCGGTCGGGCCGCAGGATGAAGGAGGGGAAGAGCGAGCGGGAGCGAAGCGGCCGACGGCGACACCGGGCAGACGACGCGCTGGCGACCGTGGTGGTGAAGCAGGAGCGTCTGAGCCCCGAACCGGTCGCGCACCGCCGACCCGACGCCCCAGCCGCTAACCCGTCCCCGCCCGCCGCTGAGCCAGGCCGCGGCGGCCACCGCGGGAGTCGAGGCCGGGGAGCGAGCCGGTGAGCGGGCCGCGGCCGGGATGGCGCGGGTTCCGGGCGGTGCGAGCGACTCTTGATGCAGAGAACCTGTTGAGTTGCAATGAGATTCCCCCGCCTGCCTGCGGTGGACGGTGGGAATGTCTTTCCACTCACCTGCCGCCAAAGAGTGTCTCACGTTGGGTCTTGGCGACTTCTTCGCAGCACTCATTCGCCGATGCCTCCGTACAGCATCGATTTACTGAGTGCATAGTATGGGCTAAAGATCAATTGAGGTACTTACTGGGCCACAGGATAAGGAGAGATGGTTTGACCCTGGCGAAACTGGGCGTGCTCTAACCCTAAGAAGGAAAATAAAATAACAAGTAGATAGGTTCGATTAGTGTTAATGATGGGTTAAAACTGTAATGTGGCCGGGCGGTGGTGGCGCACGCCTTTAATCCCAGCACGCGCGCTATCACGACAGAAAATTATATACAAAGAACCTGAAGTAGAACTGTGTTTGTTTTTAAAAGTCGGAATAAGACATCCAGTGTATCCTGGATTGAGTGACGAAGGAGGAGCATTGTAGGCTGTAGGGATAACGTGGGATGGAGGACAGGGTGGGTACCTAGGACTTGCCAAGGGATTGGATGTGGTTGCTGGAGAAAGGAGTGTGTTAGGGGGGAAAAAAAACACAGTCAAGATTGACTTCCTGGATAGTGGTGCCAATTAGTAGAATGACAGACTGGAGAAAGAAAGGTGTTTGAGGCTTTGGGGTTCAAGAATTAGGTTATGTGAGTGAGCAGGCCTCAGCAGGAAGTCGTGTACGTTTGTTTGCTCCAAGTGAGCAGGAGAGCCAAGGCCTGATTTCCGCTAGCGGGTTCACAAACGTGTGGTGTCTAGCGGGCGAGCCTGATACTTGAAGCTGATTTCTTTGGGGGAAGGGACATTGAGGTAAAATCCTGTGTACCATGCTCTGAAAAGGTCCCCAGCCAAAAAGAAAAACAAGTCCTCAGGGAGAAGAAGCAAGTCTCCACGGACTAAGAGAAGCCGGAGTCCCCACTACACCTCGGTTAAAGTGAAGCAGGTGAGTGAGGGGGCAGGCGCCCTTGATAGGAAGTTCGTGTCTAGAGCCGTTGCTGACGAGGGTCTGCACCTTCGTGTGTCCGTGTGTCCTTGTCCTGGCAGTGGACTCTTCTAAAAACTGGCTGTGTGTTTGCGGTTGTTTTACACGAATATTTAAATTTGGAGGAAATGATTGGTTTGATTCTGATAACCCTTTGTCAGAAATACATTTCCGTTTCTCCCAATGGTAACTTCTCACACGACCGTGGGCAGTATCACGGTCAGGATACTGACGGCTCACTGCTGTGGGATGCTTCAGACTGCTCTTTAGTCCCATTCCTTTCCACCTTTATCCTTCTCCCAGCTGCTTCTCTGTCTCTCATTTCCTGGATGGACAGACATTGTTTATGGCACTGTTTAAACCAGCACGGATGGGCCAGGTTTGACCTGTGACTGCCCGCATGCTCCAATACATTCTTTAAAAGGACACTGTTATTTTACTGCACATTGAAAATCCATCGGGCATATGTCTGTAATTCTGCCAATACCATGCTGTCTCAATTACCACACTTAAGTAATATAAATCTTGAAACCAAGTGTCCTGATTTCTTCTACTTTATTCTTTCAAAAATTAGCTGTTCTGAGCCAGGCGGTAGTGGCACGCGCCTTTAATCCCAGCACTCAGGAAGCAGAGACAGGCGGATCTTTGTGAGTTCGAGACCAGCCTGGTCCACAAGAGCTAGTTCCAGGACAGGCTCCAAAGCTACAGAGAAACCCTGTCTTGAAAAACAAAACAAAACAAAAAGATTAGCTGTTCTGGTTCCTTTGTTTGCATCTCTGTAAATGTTAGAACAGTCTTGAATGTGTGTGTGGTTAAAAAAATTTTTTTTGCATGTTTTTATGTCTGCCTGCATGTATGTATGTACACCGTGTATATGTCTGGTGCCCACAGTCTGGAAGAGTACCAGATTCCCTAGAACTTAAGGATGGCTGTAAGACACCATGAGGGTGCTGGGAACTGACCCAGGTCCTCTGGAGAGCAAAAAGTGCTTTTAACTGCTGAGTTATCTTCCAGGTTTTCTAGTAATGTCTTGCTTGATGTAGGTGTGGTGGTGTGTGCATGTAACCCTACACAGAGACAGGAGGATCACAAGTTCAAGACTGGCTAAGAGCTTAGTAGAGACACCGTCTCAAAAGTAAGGACTGGGGCTAAAGTTTAGGAGTGCTTGCCTTGTCTGAATCCTAGTCCCGTTACCATTATGTTTGTTTTTATATTAATGGATTATTACTCAGCCTTAAAAGGAAGAAAATCCTGACACATGTTACAGGATGTTTGAACCCTGATGACTTGCTTAATAAACCAAGGGAAAAAGACAAAAATTACATGGTTTCACATCTTTGTAGTTGAAACAGTTGATCTCCTGCTAATTAGACCCAGATTGGCCTGAAACTTGTTTGGTAGGTAGATAGGCAGACCGAGAACTCTGGCTTTTCGAGATGGTTTCTTTGTGTAGCCTTGACTGTGCTGAAACTCACTCTGTAGACTAGGCTGACCTCAAACTCACAGAGATCCGTCTGTCTCTGCCTCCTGAGTACTGGGATAAAGCCAAGAGCCACACCACCTGGCTAGGCCTAGACACTTGATTCCCCACCCCTTGCCCACTGTGGAGATAGGTTCTTATTCTCACTATGCCACCCCAGTTCCTTCTCTTGATAGTAGCAATTCCTGACCTTTTTAGTTTTGCTAATCTGAGAAAATTTTTATTTATTTATTTTTTGCATTGATATTCTGGTTCCTAGTGAGATAGGGGTTACTAAGTATTAGCTTCTGGAGACTGCTGTTGATACCAGCCTGTGGACTGGTTGCCTTACTGATTGATTTCTCACTGGTCTGTTTCTGTCATTGTTTTTTCGAGACAGGGTTTCTTTGTGTAATAGCCTTTTGTGTAATAACCTGCTGGAACTCTGTAGACCAGGCTGGCCTCAAACTCACAGAGGCCTGCCTGCCTCTGCCTTCTGAGTGCTGGGTTCAAAAGCCTGCGCCACTACCAGGCTCTCATTGATCTACTGGTGTGTGATATGTATTGTGGTTTCTGCCAGACTGATTTTTAGTATGTGTTTCCATTTTGTCAGAAGTTTGGAAACTACCAAGTAATACTTTCTTGTACGTTTCTTGAGGCTTTCATGTTTCTTAGGTTTATTCCTAGATGTCTGAATAATCTTTGTAGTTGTTGAAGTGGGAGCTTTTGAAATTATTTCAATTTCTCTTGTGGCTTATGAGAAAGTTGACTTTTTCCTTTACGTAGCTTAAATGTGACTATTCTGTTTTCTTTCTTTAATTCCGTTTTTGGTGGGGGGCAGGTTTCAGGTGGCCTTGGCTGTCCTAGAACTCACTCTGTAGACCAGGCTGGCCTTGCAGTGATGCTGGGATTAATGGTGTTCACCACCACCACTACCTGGCTACTCTGTGCTGTTTTCTACACATGTTGCCCTGTGAGTTTGCCTGCAGATGACTGGAGGGAATATTCTCCTCCCCTCTCTTTCAGCCTCTTGTCTTGAGGGCTCTGAATGTGGACTTGGGCTGTCAGACCTGTATTTGAGGAGCAGCATGGACTATAGAGTCTTAATGGCCCGCCAGGGGAACAGAATTACCACAGATAGCCTTGTGGGAATAAGACTTTGTTCTGAATTCCAGCACCCAGGTCACAAGTGTGTTGTTTTGCGAGATTTAAGTATTTTATGTGTGTGGATGTTTTCCCTGCATGGATGTCTGTGCATCATAGAGATGCAGCGCCTACACTTGTCATAAGAGGGCATTGGATTCCCTTGGAACAGATGGTTGCGAACAACTATGTGGGTGTTAAGAACTGAACCTGGGTTCTCTTGAACAGCAGTTAGTGCTCTTAACTGCTAAGGCATCTCCCCAGCCCTGGCAGCTTATTCATAGAGTAGAAGCCATCTTTCCTTTACTGAATGCATCTTAATTTCAGGAACGTGAGGACCATCCACGGAGAGGACGAGAGGATCGGCAGCACCGGGAGCCATCAGAACAGGAACAAAGGAGAACTCATAACAGTGAGCGAGACCGGCACCGGGGCCATTCCCACCAAAGGAGGAGCTCTGGTGAGAGGCCTGTCAGTGGGCAGGGTCGGGACCGAGACAGCCAGATTCTGCAGGCCCAGGAAGAAGAGAGGGACTTTCATAATGCCAGGCGCCGGGAGCATCGCCAGCAGAATGAAGGTGCTGGCAGTGAGGCTCAGGAGGTGATCCCTCGCCCTGCTGGTAACAGGAGCAAAGAGGTGCCTGTCAAAGAAAAACCAAGCTTTGAACTTTCTGGGGCACTTCTTGAGGACACCAATACCTTCCGGGGTGTGGTTATTAAGTACAGTGAGCCCCCAGAAGCCCGGATCCCCAAAAAACGGTGGCGTCTCTACCCCTTTAAAAATGATGAGGTACTTCCAGTCATGTACATCCATCGGCAGAGTGCTTACCTTCTGGGGCGACATCGCCGCATCGCCGACATTCCCATCGACCATCCCTCTTGCTCCAAGCAGCATGCAGTCTTCCAGTACCGGTAGGTAGACCAGGGGAGAACTGGAGAGGGAGCTGGGGGGAGTGTCTCACTGGGGATGCCTATGGCTGTTTGTGTGAGGATGCAGAAGAGCCCATTGCCCTTGTATCTAATGAGCTGGGCTGAAAGTCTAGCAGCCCTTGAGTAATCTCTTAACATTTATATGAGAGTCTTGAACTTGATATCAGAAACCCAGATATTAGGCTCTACTGTTGTGAAGGTGCAGGCCTGTAATCCTAATCCCAGGTCTCTGGAGGCCAAGCAGAAAAGACTGGTGTACCCTCTAAGCGTGGCCTATGTACCAACATTGCTTCTCAAAAAGAAAAGAAAAAAAATTTAGAAGGTCCTGCCCCACTCTGGACCTATTTCCATATGTCCCCAGGGCTGTCATGAGGACCAAATAGAAGTGGAAGCCAGAGTCAGAATGCCAGGTATACGCTGGCTGAATCTGCTGCTTAGATCATAGACCCTTACCATCTGGTCCTCGACACTCCCGTGGGGAAAACAGGACCAGGGTTAGCATCCTCATTTGACAGCTGAGAAAACTGTAGCTCAGCACAGTCAGCTGATGGTACAAATGACCTTCAGAGCAGAACTCTGTCTCATATCTAGCCCCTGACTCTCAAGTTCTCATTCTAATGTTTTTTCCTCATTTGGGCTGGTGCTAAAATAGATGTACAGCATCGGGGAGTATGTGTGTAGCCATAACAAGAAGTCTTGAGTTCTACATTAGAATTTTTCGTGGCCCTCCACCCCCACCTACCACTCCCAGCCCTCTACCTTTTCTCTTGGGTATATGTAAACTGCTCCCAATTCCCTTAGCCAGGCAGTACTTCCAGTGACCTCCTATAGTTTGCATTTGACCCATGTTCAATCCAAGGCAGTGACATCTAGATCTGTAGCAGCGAGCTTTAGAGTAGGTGGTCTCTGGCAGGACATGGCTCACAGGCTTCTCTCCCCGGTCTCTTCTAGGCTTGTGGAGTACACGCGTGCTGATGGCACAGTTGGTCGGAGGGTGAAACCCTACATCATTGACCTCGGCTCAGGCAATGGAACCTTCTTGAACAACAAACGTATTGAGCCACAGAGATACTATGAACTGAAAGAAAAAGATGTCCTTAAATTTGGGTTCAGTAGCAGAGAATATGTCTTGCTCCATGAGTCTTCAGACACCTCTGAACTAGACAGAAAGGAAGATGAGGATGACGAGGAGGAGGAAATGGTGTCTGACAGCTAGCAACTGAGAAGCACCCCCACTATTAGAAACTGTTCCTGCTGGAGGCCATGGGCTTGACTCTCCAGTGACTCTTCTTGCCTTAAGTCTTTCCTCTGTTGCTGCCCAGCTTGTGTTGCAGTATGAGAACTCTCACCTCGTGTTTTGTTGAACTTGGCACAGCAGCTGCCTGCCTGTGGGCGCTTGTTTTCAGAACAGTCTCACCAATTACAGCATGTCGAGTTTTGGTCAAAGTGTGTGGCTGTAGTGGGTGCCTTCAGAACCGCTGCACAGGAAACCAAGCCCTTGGAAAGGGGATCGTGGCTTGTTTGTTCTCTTTGTACAGTTTCTTATTTATATGTCATTGAGCTTTGTGGACCAGGGGTTTTGTTTTGGGGACAAATCCTAGAGCAGAGAATCTTAGTAAGCTTTGGTTGTCACCAAAACAACCTCCAGCATATACCAAAGCTTTGACCTGGATCAGCTCTTGAGTCATAGAGGTTGATTTTGCGCTTCGTTTTTTGGAAGTGACAGTTTACCACATGACCTCATTATTGACTGTCTAAACTAAACAGACACCTTGCGACGCCTGTATAGACATGACTGTGTAGGAGGTCACGGCTTCTACCATCGGGTGCCAGTGTCTATCCTGCACTGGGTTGTGCAGCTTCATCCTGAGAGGGTTCCAATTTCCCCAGGAAACAGACATAACCATTTTTTGAGGCAGGGTTTCTCTGTAACAGCCCTAGCTGTCCTGGAACTAGGAACTCCCAGAGATCCACCTGCCTCTGCCAGCATTAAAGCTGAGGTGGGCGCCACCACTGCTCGGCAGCATAACCGTTTAGATCATCTGTTCTTTTTCTTCAGCTTTGCATTTTTATTCAAATGTTATCTCTTTCCTCTCTTTGAGAAACACCCCAACGTTGACTTTGTAGCAGGGCCTTGCTGTGGCCTTGGGTCTTGTGTGTGTGTGTGTGTGTCTAAAGGAGCTTGTGTAGCTTCCACATCTCGGTTCCATCTTTGACATGGGTTTGTATTTACTTCCCGAGGGTGGAAAGCAAGGGCAGCCCAGCTTCTGAAATTCCCACCTGCAGCTGCAGTTTGTGTAAGTAGAAAGGAGTTCATGACTTATAGTATGTGTGCCTGTAAATGGTGTGTTTCGGAGCTGTGTGCTGATTTTCATATGACAGTGTTTGTGATAGAGATAATACCACATGATAGGCAAAGGCCTGTCACATTTGGAGAACAGCTTTTCATTTATATGTATTTTTGAGATAAAAAAATAAAATTTGTAAATATAGCCCTATTTTAGAGGGTAATACTTTCCTAGCATAAAGGACTTTTGTTCATAGGTGTTTGCTCCAAAGGACTCTTTGTTTCAGTGTTTTGAGGTAAAAGTGGTCCGTCTGTGGGGTAGGTGTGGGCCGAGGACAGAACCTTGCAAGGAGGAATCACTTTAGCAATGGATTCACCATGTTCTTTTGAACTATTGGAAGGTTTGTGTAGATGGCCCTTCATCAGGACCCTTTCCTCCTCTGGTGGTGATGAGGGCACTCAGCCTGGGCTGCTCTCTTGGGGTTAAAATTTAGGACGCTGATAAATAGCCTGTCTTTTCTTTCTGGAGTCATTGTCTCACTTGTCCAAAGGGCTGAATGCTGGCTAGTGCAGTAGGGGCAGCTCAGGAATGTGCATTCAGAAGAGATCAGCACATTCCCTACTGTGTCCAGAAAGCAGATTATATTTTGATGGACTTTATTCTTAATCCAGACAAGGTTTTCTGTCTGGGATTCCACAAAATCTACCATCCTACTCCAAGGCCTCCCTCTGTGTCCAGTGATAGTTTGGGAATTTGCCTTCTTGATAAACACTGGAAGATAACCACTTTGCCTACATCTTTGAGTAAAGAGGTCCCAGTAACCAGAAGTGGTGACTCATGCCTGTAATCATGACTGTTTGATGTTTTACTCTTTTGGCTTTTTGAGGTGCCCACCACCCAGTCCCCAAATAAATCACACATACAGGTTTCTTCTTAGTTATGAATGCCCAGCCTTAGTGTGGCTTGTTTCTTGCCAGCTTTTCTTAAATTTTCCTGTCTATCTTTTGCCTCTGGGCTTTTTATCTTTTTGAACTTTTGTATATCTTTCCTTCTTTCTCCATGGCTGGCTGGGTGGCTGACCCCTGATGTCCACTTCTTCTTGTTCTGTTGTTGTTCTTTCTTCTCACAGATTTTTCTTCCTATTTCTGCTGCTCTCTGCCTGCCAGCCCCACCTATCCCTGCACCTTCCTGGCTATTGGCCATTAAAATAATATTGCCCAACACAAGGGCCTGGAGAGGCTGATTCAAGAGGATTGCTGCAAATGTTAGGGGACATGGAATATGAAGTGGCCTGTTGATTTCAGCAAGAAAAATGTCCCAATTCTATTGATTGTGAATGTTTGCTTTAGTGTAGTGAGGCGTGTTAGGTTTAAGAACTGCATGTCAGCTATCTGGGAAGATGTACTTGTTCATCTTATCTGTTTGCAAGGTCTTCACTGTCTTTCCTCACCCTGTTGAAGTACAGTTGTGTGCGAAACAGCTCTTGGGTGCTGGGCTCCTGCACCAAATTCTCTTTGGTGGTCCCTAGTTCTGCAGAGGTGGGAAAAAGTCTTTAGATGTGGGCCACTGAGACGACTCGGCTAGTAAAGGTGCTGGCCACCAGGTCTAATGACCTGAATTGATTCCCAGAACTCACATGGTGGATGGATAAGCAACTCTCACAAGCTGCCCTCAGACCTCCACATCTGTGTGTGCACACAAGATAAATAATATCAATGCTATCAGCTACAGTCGTTTCCTCGCTCTGACTTAATCATAGATAGTTGATTAAGTGCCAGTCAGTTGAGCTTCAGGTTCTTTCAGATTCTGTTTAAAAAAAAAAAAATAGGAAGACACCTGATGTTACCCTCTGGCGCCACATGCACTCACATGCATGTACAACGTGCATGTACTATTGTGTGACAAAACTGTACCCGAGGAGATGCAGCATAGCCAAGTGTAGATACCACCAAATGAACCAAGTTTGTTTGTTTATTTATTATGTATACAGTGTTCTGCCTGCAGGGCGGGAGAGGGCACCAGATCTCATTACAGATGGTTTTGAGCAACCATGTAGTTGCTGGGAATTGAATTCAGGACCTCTGGAAGAGCAGTTAGTGCTCTAACCTGTGAGCCATTTCTCCAGCCCTGCCAAGTTTTTTAAAAATTGTTTTTTTGAAATGGTTTCTCTGTGTATCCCTGGCAGTCCTGGAACTCACTCTAGACCAGGCTGGACTTGGACTCCCAGAGATCTGCCTGTCCCATCATCCCAAGTGCTGGAATGGTGAACCAAGCTTTATTGGGATTACTTGCAAGAATATGGGTGAGAGGTTACTTACAGGAATGGAAATGGATCAGACAGCTGCATTTCCAAAACTCACCCAACATGGGTGAGAGTTCACAAAAGCTGGGACCCTGGAGCACACTGCACAGCCTGCAGGCAGCTCTGCAGATTGGAGAGCATCCTTTCCAGGTGCCTCAGTTGGTCTAAACCTCTTCCCAGCAGCTGGACTGGTCCCAGTCTCTGCAGCTCAGTTTCCCTCCTTCCAGAGGGACTCTCACTTTATGTTTTACTTGAACAGGGAGGGGTTGAGTGAGTCTGGTCAGTTTCAGGGACTTCCTAAAGCTATTTTGATTTGTTACCTTTCTGCTTGAATTTCTCAGCAGGATGGAATGATTCAATCTGCTTCAATTTCCTTAAAGACTTAGACAACAGCCCTACACAATGTTGGTATATAAGAGCACGGTATAGGAAATTAAACTCTAAGCCCTTTGAACAGAACTAGCTCATACTAGGGCTCTCCATCCTCAGTCAAGCAGGATTTGACGTTTGCAAATGAGAGGGCTGAGGTACAGAAACAGTAAAAGTCCCAAATTTTGTGTGTGGGGGCCTCTTGCCTACATGCTTGGCTGTGCACCCTGTGTATGCCTGGTACATGGGACCAGATACACCGGAAATGGAGTTATAAATAATTATGAGCCACCATGTGGGTGCCAGGAATCAACTCAGGCCCTCTGCAAGAACCACAAGCATACTTACTGCTGAGCCATTTCTCCAGCTCCATTGACCACCTTCTTCTTTGTTTGTTTGACACAGGGTTTCTCTGTGCAACAGCTCTGGCTGTCCTGGAACTTGCTCTGTAGACCAGGCTGGCCTGCAGCTCACAGAGACCCGCCTGTCTCGGCCTCCCGAATATATCCCATTCTTCTTAATTAAATTAATTTGTGTGTATGGGTGTTTCGCCTGCATATGTGTCTACATCTCTTGTATCTGGGGAAGAGGGAGACAGGTCTCCTGTAACTGGAGTTAAAGAAAATTGTGAGGGGGCTGGAAAGATGGCTCAGAGGTTAAGAGCATTGCCTGCTCTTCCAAAGGTCCTGAGTTCAATTCCCAGAAACCACATGGTGGCTCACAACCATCTGTAATGGAGTCTGGTGCCTTCTTCTGGCCTGCAGGCATACACGCAGACAGAATATTGTATACATAATTAATAAATATTTTAAAAAAAGATTTTCTCATGTGGGTACTGAGAACTGAACCAGGATCCTCTGGAAGATCAGCCAGTGCTCTTTAACTACTGAGCCATCTCTCCAAGCCCCAATTTTTCTTTAAAATTATTTATTTATTAAAGATATCTTTGTAGAGTTTTTGGTTTTCTTTTTTGATTCTGGGAATCAAACTTTGTAAAAAATCAAAACCTCTGTTAACTCCGGTTCCAGGGGATTCAATGCCCTCCTCTGACCTCCAGGGGCTCTGCAAGCATGTGCGCAGACGTAGAGGCAAAACACCTATACACGCAAAAATTAATAAACCTTCAAAATAACAAGTCAGTATCACTTATGAACTTAGATGTAGAAATCGATAAAATGTTAGCAAGGAGGTTAGGGAACACAGTTTAGCAAGTGAAGCGCTTGGTGTGAAGCCCGATGAACTGAGGTCAATCCCCAGTACCCAGGTGATGGGAGGAGCGAACTGACTCCTGCAGATTATCCTCTGACCTCCCCACCTGTGTCCCTGCACGCCAATCACTCACACAAACAAGTGATAAAAAATACATTTTAAAATGAGCAAATCCAAGAAATTAGAGAAAATATAGGGAGGTGTCCATTGAATTCAACAATATGCAAAAATAATTAACAAGATGGCCAAAAAATTTATTCCTGACATTCATGGCTGCTACAACATTTGAAAATCCATGTAATCCATTCTGTTGTTAAAAAGTAGATGGCTAGCTGGGTGGTGGTGGTGCATGCCTTTAATCCCAGCACTCTGGAGGCAAAGGCAGGCTGATCTCTGTGAATTCAAGGCCTGAACTACAAGAGCTAGTTCCAGGACAGGCTCCAAAGCCACAGAGAAACCCTATCTCGAAAAACAAAACAAAACAAAAGTAGATGGTTGAGTAGTGAAGAGCATTTGCTATGCTTGCAGGGCACATGGGTTTGATTCACAACACCCACATGTTGGCTCACAACTGTCACTCCAGTTCCAGGGGGATCAGGTGGCCTGTCTGGTTTCCACAGGTACAAGGTATGTACATGGTGTACAGATGCACATGCAGACAAAACAGTCATAAAATAAGTCTCAAAAAAAAAGGCATATTTTTTGAAAAACTAAGGATGCTGAACCGCAAACTTGCCATCTGTGCCACCACCCACCACCCAAAGGCTCAGGGACCATTTCAGACTGGAAGAGCAAGAGGTCAGGGAGGACTGATATTGCCTCTGGACATGAGAGGACTGCTGTATCCGTGAGTCCAGCAGCTGTGGCTGCCTACAAAAGACTGGCATAGGTCAATTACTAAATTGGGGGAGGGGTTTGGTGCAGGAGAATTGTTCGTATTCTGTCAATCATGTTTTAAATAAACACTGATTGGCCAGGCAGGAAGTATAGGCGGGAAAACCAGACAGGAAGCAGAAATGATGCAATGAGAACAGAATTCTGGGAAGGAGGAAGTTGATTCCTCCCACTCCTGCCTAGACCACCGAAGCAGCAGGATGTGATCTGCCCCACTGAAAAAGGTACTGAGCCACATGGCTAACATAGATCAGAAAAATGGGTTAATCAAGATGTGAGAGCCAGTGAGAGGCTAGAGCTAATGGGCCAATCGGCTTATAATTTATGGAGACATGTGTGATTTTCTTTGGGGCTAAACAGTTGTGGGGTACTGGGCGGGACAAAAACCCCAACAACAAGCAACTCCTGTTCGTGTTATAGGGGTTGAT